GTAAATTAAATTATAAAACTTGAGGTAAAGTTCTTTTTTAATTTATTTGGTGCATTTTAAACACATTTACTTATTTAGTGGTTCATTTATATGTTTCTGCTTTTAATTCCAATTATGTCAGTGTCGGTCCTCCATACAGCAGAACTTGGAAGAGGTAATTCAGTGACTGAATCAGGTGTGCTGGAGCAGGGAAATATGTAAAACTTGTAGGGCTGCGGCCCTCGAGGACCAGGATTGCCCACCCCTGATTTTTACACAGAGGAAAAGAGAGGATTGACAACAGCTGAGAGAACACTGATTAGAAACTATTGGCAGGTGTGTGTGACAGAGGAGGAAGTAAAGAATCAGAGGAAAAAGAGACATAATGATGACAAGGGAACACAAGAGGGAGGTATGACAAAAGACACAAAAATACACAACCTCACATAAAGCTTTATCAAAAAGAATTCCAAATGCAGGAATGAAATTGCAAGAAATTTAGAGTGGAGTGCATGTAGTCATTTTAATTTAAGGACTTTTGGTATTTTTCAAACCAGAAATTGGCCCATGACTGTTAAACAGTCCAAACGGCTCATTTTCAAATGTATTTCTGTACTGCCTTCAAGTATACTAAAGATTTTCACACCTTGTTTCTGTCACAATCTGAAGTTTGAAACCCAAATGCAAGCAGGACTCAGGAGGCCAGAGTAAAAATAAATGTTTTTGTGGGAAGAGGCAAGGATATAAATGGGGGCCAAAACACCAGCTGTCGTAATGCTGCAGATCAGTCTTATGAGACCCCATGAAGAGCAAAAAACAAAGACTTGAGCCCCACAAGAACCACAGAGAGGAGCCCACGTCGACTTAGATGCAAAATTTACTTTTTAAATTTAAATTTTTATTCCTCCCAGACATAAAAATAATCATAATCATCAGGGTAAGAACTCATAATTTGCTTTTTCCATTTTTGCATCTCCTCAGGTGTCCATTTTATTCTTCACTCAATGGATCTATAGATTTGTGCAAATTTCCAAA